TAAAACAAGCAAAAACTTGACTGTCAAAATCAAAGCCAACTTTCTAACTAAAGTCAGTCAGTTCGCTTTCCAGAATTGACTTTTAAACATTTTGGCCAAAATCAGCGTACCATATACTAATGTACTACAGTGTGATACTAATGTACTAATGCTAATATTAATGTACTACAGTGTGAAAAACAGGTAATCTAGTATTTACTTGTAATGGGTGTTTTTTTTCGAACTTTAAGTTGGCATTACTGTCCAAGATGGCGACCGATTTAACAGCTGTTATTCTCAGTTTGGTTTGGCAATTCATCATGAATAACCTCACGTCTGAACAACGCTTGCAAATAGTGCAGTTTTATTATTATTATATTATTACGTATCGCGCACTACGTCCATTTTATCGTCGACTAAATCGTCCATCAGAGCAGTAAATTCGATTAACCATGGGACGTTTTCGCACTAAGTTTACTCTTATTGATAACTCGCATCCCCATAGACGCCGTACGGTGCGTAAAGAAGAAGATATTGCTGCTGTAGAGCGTAGCATTGAGGAAGACCCGAATGAGTCCATCCGCCATCGAGCACAGGAATTGGATCTTTGTCCATCCACTTTATGGAAGATTTTGCGGAAGGATCTTGGTTTACGTGCTTACAAAATCCAACTCGTGCAAGAATTGAAGCCAAACGATCATCAAGTAAGGCGTAGATTCGTCGAATGTTCCCAAAACGAGATTGCCGTTGTTCCCGATTTTCATAAGCGAATTTTGTTTAGCGATGAAGCGCACTTGTGGTTGAATGGCTACGTCAACAAACAAAACTGCCGCATTTGGAGCGAAGCTAATCCTCAAGTATATATATGTCCGTAACATCCAGAAAAACTGACTGTTTGGTGCGCTATATGGGCTGGTGGAATCATTGGTCCGTACTTCTTCAAAAACGATGATGGCCAGAACGTTACAGTCAATGGTGATCGGTATAGAGCTATGAACTAATTCTTTCACTCCTGAATTGAATAATCATGAAGTCCAGGAGATGTGAGTTCAACAAGACGGCGCAACATGTCAGACAGCTGGTGCCACAATCGATTTATTGAAAGACACGTTTGGTGACCGCCTAATTTCACTTTTTGGACCTGTGAATTGGCTTCCAAGATCTTGTGATTTAACACAGCTAGACTACTTTCTGTGGGGCTATGTAAACTCATTGGTTTATGCGGAGAAGCCACAAACGCTTGACCATTTGGAAGACAACATTCGCCGTGTTATTGCCGATATACGGCCACAAATGTTGGAAAAAGTTATCGAAAATTGGACGTCCAGATTGGACTACATCCGCGCCAGCCGTGGCGGTCATATGCCAGAAACCATATTTAAAATGTAATGCCACAAGATTATATTTCGGATAAATAAAATTCATGTCAATCGAATCAATCGTTGTTTTATTGCAACTTAAAGTTCTATACATCGAAAAGAAAAGCACCCCTTATATACCGGAAGTGCTCAGACGAATGAAGAAACCGGAAAGATTTAATGATATAATACTTAAGGTACTTGATGAGAGGCAATAGTGTACGCTGTACATAAAAAACCTTTCAAGACATTTAAAGCTACAGTATCTAAAAATTGTGGGATTTGTGAATCGCTAATCTTCGAAATGAGCAGGCATCTAACAAGAAGAAGAAATCACATTCTCGTCAGTTTAAAAATCTAACACAAGGATAGTGTTTGACACATCTTATCGTTTCCTCAATTCTGAAAGTTCCGTGTTTACGAGACCAGTGTGCAACTTGTCATGCCGCAGTAAAATTTGATAGAATGCATTGCATGCATTCCGCCGTATAGATTGCACATTTTCTGGGGTTAGGTCATGTACTTACGAGCCAGAATATGCAGCTAATGCATCTTATAAGGTAATTAATACTTAGTTTATATCGTATTGGTGTTTAGGTTTCCTATCAACGACTTGTCTTACTCGCTTTAACGACTATCCCAATCTAGAAAACGTTGATGGTTAATCGTCCATACGTAATTACGAAAAAGCGAAATTCAAATACCCGCGCGCCTCTGCCTTACTCAGATACGATTTATGTGTCGTTGTGTGTCATCAAAGAATGGCTCAGTTATTTTGGGCGTTCAAAAAATAAAACGAGTCCCGTACGGACATCCTAATTCGTGTGGATAAATAACGAACCCTATCGCCAGTGTTTTTAAATCTCGCACGGCGGGTATTCCGACTCCCTATCCGTCAATGTTGCGCTGTCTGCTAAACAAATTCTTTGAATTAGCCGGAGTTAATCCGAAATTATCTATTTACTGTCTTAACCGAGAATCGCAGAGTAAATCGGTTTTGTAAACGCCCTTACCCCACCGCAGCTATAAATCCAAACTCACTTCAACAATAACAACGGCAAGAAATAACAGACACTTATAGCCGCCCAAAATGATAAAAAAAAAATAAAATATTGAAAATTTAACTGTCTCAGATACCTTATCGCCACTGGGGTCTGCAGGGAGACTTACAACAAGGTCTAACTTTTTCTCAGAATATAGAAAAATACCTAAGAAGTAAAAGTATATTTATAATAACTACGAACAACTACGTATACTATCTTTGCCTGTGCGTACAGAGATTTTTTGCATACATTTCTTGATGGTAGTTTTTGCAAAGGGCTTAGCTACCCAAAAAAGAACTCAATCATGCCATGGGCATTATGATGCAAAATTTTCTTGGAAACTATGCATGTATGAATTTATTCTGCGATGGTGGCGGTAAGGAAGTATTTCTTGATGTTGGTTGTTACATAGTTATTCATGTTTTTTTATAATGTATAGTTTGTGAAAAACAGCACAAAAACAATATCTTATTTTATCGTATTTAAAAGTCAATTTACTTCTCAACGACTTGTAAAATCGCCGATAGGCGAACCTTATCAATCGCTGTTATTCGCCTCTCGGAAAAACGTTTTCACCGATAATGCAGATTCCTAGTCTGCCCGTCGTTTATGTCTTCGATCGTAGACTGATACAGGTCCGAAAATGTACGTGCGAGAAGTGGAACCGAGCAGCGTACCGTACAAGCCAATGGTTTTTAAGTCGCCTCTCGAAATACCTCAAGATTTCATCGATTACGACGACGCATTTCGGACATCGTTTTCAGCCGGAGAAAACGTTTATCGCGACGTCGAAAACGGTCACATTCCACCCATCAGTTTTTCACATCGCGAGCAAATATTTATCTCGACGCCATATCGGTTTTACGGCATTTTAAACGGGTTTTGCTGGCGATTTAATGTAAATATGCATTTATACGTAATTGCGTCCTACGCCGGGTATCGTAAGTATTTAATTAACCACTCGATAACTGGCTGATTTAGTACGGACATTATTTCACGGTGGAACGGAGATGGAAGTCGGAAAAATGCAGGGCGTTTTTTGCTGCTGCTGTTGCTGCTGCTCCTAGGCGTGAATGAAAATTTCTAGATTATAAATTTTACTCGTGGGCCAGCTTTCGATATTTATTGCCGGTTCACGTTTTCGGACGGACGAACTTAATAGAATTTTAAAATGTGCCATAAATACAACGTGACAGCTTTTCGGATCGGAATTTATAAACCTTTCATTGAATTTTTATTCTCTTATCCGTTTAAGTGCCGGTAATTGCCTTCCTATGATGTTAACAGTATTTTGGTAAATATACAAGAAAATAGGTGAAAATAGAAAATGAAAACAAAGCGAGGAAAAACGCAGGAAACAGTAACAGTCCGAAAACCTGCCACTGATTTTAGTGGTTTCTGGTTAGATTCCATTTTGGTTACTTAATTTTAAACAACTTTAAACAACGTCGTTTTCGCAATACCTTAACTGTGTCTACGTAGTAAAACAACGAATTTCAGTTTGGTTTTCTAATGTTTAACCGTCATTTAATTACAACCATTAATCAAAACAATCGTCTATTGCGAATGTTTTAGGTTAGTACATTCTTTGCAATACGAGAATACATTTTTTTAAATTCGTTACTTCACGAATATACAATATTTTTAATTTTCTTTAATTTAATCTCAATTTAATATATCAGCTTGCCTAATTTTATGGATATATACTACCACCACCACCAGATTTTATCGTTTTGTGTTTCGAATGAGCAACAGAGAGTCGACAACGTCATTCAAAATATAATATAACTTTAATCTAAGCATGTTTACCGGATCCAGCCCTTTTTTCCTCTTTAACTAGCCTTCCTTCAAATATGATTGCTAGTCTACAGTAGTTTTTTTTAAACATTATCTTTATCTCGGGAGTGCATTTCAATTTTTGGTTAAATTCGTTTTTCCGAGAGTCTACAGTAAAGAACCGACAGTCATTACAAATATAATATAAATATGTTAAAACTTTGCCCACAACTTAGAAAATTCCTTTGTGATACTATTCGTCCCTCACCTAGTCAGTGAGTCAGCAAAAAAATTATTGTTATTCATTGTTAATCTGAAATACTTCTAGGAATTTCAGAACCCACGAAAAGTAGCCTCAAAAACAAACACTCATGCGGGTTTTGTTTGCTCAGGTCGGTGTTTGTTGTATGTTTGGTTAAACCGTTTGATGGCAATTAACCCCCAGCCTCTAATTGCCCCGCACACACAGACGGCGATTTAAATAAACCGCATACCAAGATAATTCGATATTCCAAACAGGTCTCAGCGCTCCCGAACAACTTAAAGTTATTTTTCAAATCAAACAATCATTGACATCATCATTTATCGCTCTCGTTTTAAGTGATGATCAGGACAAATTTCTAAAGGCTGTTTTATATACTGCAAGACTTACAAAATGATGAGACGTCCTAAAAGTAATGATAAAAAGCTACTGCTGCAGGGTCACAGCTTAAAAATGGTAAGATAGAAAGTTAAAAGCAGCCCGTTGCAGCATTCAAAACGACCTTAATCAACCGAACTTCAGACGAATATTGAACACCTGCTAACCCAAAGTAATAACCAAGATTGATACACTCGAACTTACTGGTTCTGCTGGGGAGATCTGTCTGCAGTAGCAACCTGAAAAAAACAAAACACGATTACTAGTTTTGCGATCGACCACTAGGCTGTAGGTTATTTGTTAACGATTCAACGTCGTCGAAAATTATGCAAATCGGACCGGCTCGTCGGCTAGAATTTGCGTTCGAAACGGAGGCAATTACGTCCAAAATAAAGAAATTAAACAAATTATCTAGTGTGCTTCGCGTTCTTCCTGCGTCAAAGTAAACATATAATCAGTTTTGCATCTCTCTTGTCCGCGCGGCACTGCTTGACGGCTGAGTCGATGCGCTATGTTGCCGGATTTCGTCGGATTTGGACAGAAAGTCGAGATTAAATCAAACTAATCGAGTTGAATTAGCGTAACCGTAGAGGAAATTATAATGCCATTGACATTCGGAAGATCGCGGAAAATATATCGAGCCTATTTAATTAACAAAATGCAACTTCTGAGGGTGTGCGTGGCAACGCTGGTGGCGGTCCACAGTTGGTTTTACCTGAAGTCTTTTTTTTTCTTGTGTGGGATCGACCATCGTGTTATTATCTACTTTGGCACGCAGGGACCAATTTTCTGTAGTGCATAAATCAATTTGTTCCGTACTGGTGTCGTATACCCGGGTAAGTGCCATAAAAATTGAAAACTGGGCGAAAAATAGGAGCGTAATGGCCGTTTGTTTTGAACTGGTATCGCCTGAAAATGGATTGATTCATTACGTCGTTTTTCCGTGTTATTTAACGCATCAGTTTTTTCAAAAATTTGAATTTTGATTTTAATAACATTTTGATTAAATAAAAGAGGTTATCACCGGATGTTTTCGGTGGATTGTACCCACAAACAAATGGTAGTGGAAAAAGTTAGTATGCAACACGTTGATAAAGCTCTTCAGTTCCTCATTCGTTTATCTAATATATATTTAAGTACTAGTTGCAAAATATACTTTATATCTCCAAATAATGAGTACGACATCTAAAATAAAAAATCGAGGTATAAATTTTACTTCACAAAACTAAAATTTAATATAAATTTCTTGGAAAGTCTTCGATTTTACATACTCATAATGAGTATTTTTGAATCTGAAGTTTAAAAAAATCGATTATTTCTTTAGCAAGAGTTCTTGTTTACTACTTAAAAATCTCTCACCAATATGGGAATCCGACTTCCGCAAACCGTATATAAGCAAATACGGCGTAGAATGCACAACAGTTACAGTTAAGCGCTGAAGAAGCCAACAGTATGGCTGTCGAAACGTCCAGGGATCTTGTAAATAGTACACGGTAGCTTGTGGAAAATTTTTTTGGACGCTTTTGTTTAATAACGACAGACTGCTTACAAATCACAGGTTTAACTTTTTCTGATATTTTTCAGTTTTATTTTTTGAAATGTTTGTTCAGTAACCTTTTGTTTCCTTGTATTTTAGTTATTATTATATTTTTTATTTAATTACTTACATTCGTATTTGCCTTTTGGTTGTTTGTTGGTCCAAGGATAAATGAAATTTGGGTCGAGAACTGGGCCACGCGAGGCGTCGTCATTTTTCTTTCCCGCCGTCACTGCCCGCGGAATAACCGATCCATCCACGAACTAACGACGTCTCGAAATACAAAATACGGGAAAAAATAAAGAAGATACAAAAAGGCGAGCACGGTCGCATCCGCACGCACATATACTTAACAATCTGTTTAATTTAGTAGGAGCGGAGGTGCGAAGCGCATTAGCTATGTTTTCGTTGTAATCCGTTTCCTGTGACAGTGAAGAATTAAATTTGTTGTTGGGCACGTGATCCGCGTAAACTGCCCACTTTTCTAATTCCTCCTTCGCCACTGCACCACCGCTCGTTACCGGTTTAGTAATTGCGGTTATTTTCGGCCCGTTAACGAGTCGTTTGTCAAAGTTTTTTTTTTTTTTTTCACGTACGTCACTGAGTGGTTCAAGTGTTCCTGGTTCGCGTACGGGCGATAACATCGAGGCGAAAACCCTGAGCGTCGGACATCTCAAGCAGCTCCCGCGTTTATTGAGCGAATCGGTCACTTCAAAGGCAAAGGCACGCCGACAAACGTATCGAATAGAGGGATCGGAGGCTACATGAATATGCGTATCCCTCGTTTCGCCAGACGGATTTTTTTTTAATCGTTTTGCAGGAAAAACAGGCGAGGATGGCTGTTGAAATTGAACCGACGGCATTAGACGTAAGAAGCTGCTGTGAATTAGGTACCTGATATAAGCGTCCTGTGGCCTGCAGTGTACTCTGGTTTAGTTTTTACCGTTCCCGATCATAAAACCCAAACTGCCAAGTCGTAAAATGTCTCAAATTTATGACCCTTTTCGGACGGAATCCGAGTATGACATAAAATTTTATTATTTTTTTTATACCTTCATATCAGCATAACTAATGAATATACTATTTTTGTACCCATATATTAATTTTGTAAATCGTGTTAAATTTGCTAAACACATTCTTTAAGTTATTGGGTATTGTTAAGTTCTGTTAACATATACAAATACTTTTATGTTCAACGTACAGATTTTTAAATTCATGTTACTAATATTATCTCACTGAAAATTGCCCCAAAAGTTTTGTATGCCAAGTATTTGTTCATAAGCATTTGAAGATATTTTGAAAACACGTTTTTTCTTTTGCTATGCTTTGATATTCTTAGATGTAAAATAAAAACGTAAAATGTAGCGATTATTTTGAATAAGTTCATCGGGAATATAAACAAAAATGTTGCATTTTTTTTTATTTTTATTAAAACATCAAACTGGTATTTTTATTTAAAACAGTTCTCTTGCAAGAACACATAGAAAAATAAAATCTAACAAAATATAAAACAGTTTTCCTTTAAAAACATCTTAAACGTAACCTCGTTATTGGGCCTTATTTCCAGCCATAGAGGGTAATAAGACTCCCTCTATTTCTGTAATGGAAAATAAGAAAATAAACTACATTGCACTACAGACATGTAACAGCTTCCGGGACATGTTCAGTGAGTCCCATAAATCATCATGCACCCAAGAATTACAAAAACTGGCGAAAAAGCTTCAGAAAATCTTTCTTTGTTCATTTTCCTATCTTGGAATTTGTCCCAATAACGCAACAACTCTTCATCCCAAAAATTTTCGAAAGAATGGAAGAGCTTTTGTAGAGGAGTTGGAGTTCATGTGTGGTATTTGAAGGAAGGCATAATAAGTGAATTCCACTTGGTCGGCAGCATCAACAAGTGAAATGTGGAGATGTGACGCAGCACAGTCAAATATTAAGAGAACTGGTGGTTGAATAAACTTGCAAAAATGACTAGTCATGCAACCTTTTGGCGACATCTTCACTTGATATCCGTCACTAAAAGTTGATTTCAGCCTCTGCCCCTTGAACAATATCATGGGTGGGATACCATTTCCTAATGCGTTTGCGCAGGTAACAATCGTACAATTTTTAGCGTGTTCTGAAGCAACCAGGTGGACTCGCTCGTCCCCTTTTTTTAGTAATGACTGTCCGTTGATGCATCCTTTTTCATCCATCCATCCATACATCCATGTTGTATACCTTTGCCGATTGATGTTTGAAGCCATATTTTTCGAGAACATTATCAACTTTTATAGACGTTAACAATGAAGGGATTAAGCTTTGTTGCCCTAGCAGGATTCATCAACTGGGCCTTTCTTAGAGATGAAGAAGAATGTCGCTTCATAAATTCTATATACCAGTCACATCCAGCAATTTTTGCCTCAAGGTTGAAACGGTTAGAAATGCTTTGGTTTTCAACATACTTGAATACACTTCGTAGTAGTGTCTTTGGTGCCACAGGAAATCCTATGTCAGAAAATTTAAGGATTTTTCGAACTATATCAGTTTCTTGTACTTGCCGTGCCCTGAGAATTCTTTTAGCAGCTCCGGCTTCCAAATGGTTTCTAAGGGTGCGACTTGGTATACCGCATCTAGTTGCCACATAATGTTGGGATTTTCCTTGACGTAGAAGTAACAGTGCTTCTTCCACTATGTCCTGCGGCCAATTGGCCTTCAAGTCGCGACATTTCTTGGTCATTTTTTTGTAAAAAAAAATTAAAAAATGTATAAGGTAATAAGGCCCATTGAGTGGGTAATGAACTGTCTGGGCCTTATTACCCACATTGCTATGAAATCATATTAAGGATATATTAAATAAAAAAAATGAATTTTACTCTTGAATACTGGCTTCCTAACCCTTTTTTTTTTCGAAAAAAACGCCACCGTTCAATCATACTTTTTTATAATATCTGTCGAAAACTACATCGAGTATGCAGGTTTGCGTATTTAATTTGGGTAACAGACCAACACATAGATGGTGCCATAATACTTATAAATTCTTTTTTATTGATAAATGGGTGCCCGGCCTTATTACCTGCGCGGGCTTTATTCCCAACAGTGACCTTGCATTAGATTTTAGTGAAAAATACAAACACAAAAATATATTTTTTTTTACGATTAGTTAACAATAGTACAATAACAAATAACACATATTTTAATTGAAATTGCAAACCCATTATAGAAGTACGAAAAGGTGCAGAAAGGACACGCAAATTTCGTGTTTTAACTAAAACATTTGTAATAAAATTTCATGTTTTATCTCAAAACTTTAAAATTTTATTGTTCTACCCCTTCGTGCTCAGCGTCAGATGGATTGGATTAAAAAATAAAGAAAACATATTGAATCCAATCGGTCATATTAAAGGAGGGATGATCACGTGTGCTCTCTCGTATTGTCGTCGTGTTTTTAGCATTGGCAGCAAAATTTCAAGTTACGGGTAAATCGAATATTTGAAATTTTGTTTTATAACTCGAAATTTTCAGATTATCAGATCAAGTAAAGAATAAAAAAAAAGTTTGAACCGAATCGGCCACGTCAGTTTTTCAGTTTTCGTTTGTTTCGCGAAACCCGAGTTTCGTCGGCCGACGGGCGTATTTTATTTTTATCGAAGACCGTCCGACTGTCACGGATGGCATACGAAACGAGTTAACAGTCGCTTTTCGCGGCCGGCGCTCCGA